GCCTTGTTCAGACTGCCGTTTTCTGATTCCCCGAGGGTAATTATTACCCAAAAGAAAAAGGAGATTATTTTTTTCTACGTAAAAAGGACAATTAAGAGTTAAGACCCTAACTTAGTTAAGAGTTAAGACCCTAACTTATTTCAGTGTCGAGGTGAAATTTCATACCTCATCTATCCGTACACGTGGTAACTCGGGCTCTGTAAGGTCACTAAACGAGTCACCGCAACTCCCTGAGCAGGCAGAATCGACTGATCGACTGATCAACTCTACCAGTCGATCCCATGAGTCGACGAACAACATTGGGCATCAAGTCACGAGAGAATATCCTCAAGACATTCCTTATACAGGATTTGGCAACAGAATCAGCCAGAAAAGAAAAGAAATCAACTGCTCCAACTAAAAAAAATTATTGAGAAAAAGGTCAATGATCAACTTAGGCTACAAGATATCCTTTCATTGGACGAAATTGATTGTCTTTCACATAAGAAAACTATATCTCATCAGGTAACAAAGAGGCCGGATTAACTCAAAATGGACAAGAAACAATGATTGACCATTCAATTATAGAAAGAACCAGTCAAGGAAAGTCATGCAACGCCTAAGAAGGAAAGGAATATCACGGATTGAAGGTCATATCACACAGAGAATTAGGAAACAACTCGTAGATCCTTATCAACTATAAATACAAGGCATTTGGACATAGTTCGACATGCTTATACAGCACACAAAAGCTCTCACGCTCACTTACATCATATTTTTCTATTATTTACTATATTTTCCAGCATACATTTTTCTCTCTCATCTCATTCTCCTCAGAACAATTTATTGTAACGCTTTTCAACAGTCATAATGAAACCACCGGAGCCCTAGAATATACCCTGCATTATCGGGGGAACCACTATAACTCCTTATGTCTTTTTACTGTTTTCATTTACTTTCACGTTTAATAACACTTTCGTTCTTCTAATGAATTAATTTCACCAATCGACGATTTCAAACTCGATCATTGACCCTTGATTTCTCTAATTATAAATTTTACAATAACATTACTTGAGATAAAGTAGAAGGACAGGCTCAAATTAACAAAAGAACGAAGCTAATAGACGGCCGGTAGTTTTAATCCTCTCATACATATACATACGTACCATATACACACACATATAGAAGAACTACGATTCAATTAGTAGAAATTTTGGCATTAATACACGAGAAATAAAGGAAATTACGTCTTCAATATAATATCTTATGACGTTTCCCATTTCAATTTCCACAATGCATGTACTCTATTGATTCCAGTTGCCGATATACTTCTATTTCATATATTCTCTTAATTATAGTGTCATACACGGTTTGTTAAATTAGTTCTTAATAAATAGTCTTTTTATTAATTAATATTTGGATAGTTATGGAAAAAGCTTTTTTTTTAGAAGAGCTCTTGAACATATTTAATAGATTAGTCAGAAGTTTTTATTGTTATAAAAATAATGTAAAACAATAATATCAATAGAGTTTTTAATTTGTTGTTCACAAATAACGTGAAAAATGTAAATAAAAATTTTTTTTTTCATAAGGTATTTTTTCCTAAAAACTTAGAAGGTGACTTGTACAAAAATAAAAAATAAAAAATGAAAATAAAAAAATTTATCAACACTAAAAGCACTTTCATATTGTCTTTAAGACTAAATAAATTAAAACAACTTTTTTTTAATTCAATCGAAACAGGCTCAATATTCATTTTTTTTTCTCATATTAAAGTCAGATTTGTCAACACATGAGGAAGATAATCATGAAAAAGAAGCAGAATTGGTTCACAACAGACAAAATTACCAATAGAAAAAACTCCTCCCCCTGGCATTTAGATACTCTTAATATAATGTTTGTCTCCTGGTCAATTCTATTATTGGAAGAATTTTTCTTTCCCTTTTTATATAAGTTTAATTCGTTTCTTAAGCCAGATAGCTTCCTCCAGTAACGACGCAAGATATTCTTCTCTTGCTTTTTTCCAAAACAATTAATATATTTCATAACTTTGCCGCCATTTGACTATTCTCATCACACTTCTTTTTAATAGAAACCAAACATATTTTCTTGATTTTATTGATTACTATGAGAAATCTTGTCCTTATCTATATGAATTGATATATGTCACACGTTCCCGACATAGTCATATATATGGAGCTTAGAATTATTTGTTGAGACTGGTTTTAGTCCTTTTGGACGAATAAAATTATTTGTTTTCGTTTATAGTTTTAATGAAATTAGAGCCTGTTTTGAATGTTGATAAATTAAATTTGTATTCTTGAAAATATACAAGGAATACTGGACCTTTGTTTGAGTTCTCCCTTTCCACGTGATGGTTTCTTCATGCTGGACCTTTCTGCATTCATCTTCTTAAACTCATTATTTAGTTCTCAGGAAAAAAAAAAAAAAAAAAAAAAAAAAAAAAAAAAAAAAAAAACCTTCATAACGCCATAGAAACTTAATATTGTGAAGAGATTAGGACTCTAAGGTACGTTCACGTGTAAAATTATGCTTTTAATCTTTGTTTTAAGCCTCAAATTTCAGATTTTAGAGGTCTGTTAAGTGATTTGTTGTTGTAATTCGAATTTGGTATTCGATTGAGTACTTCTTTTGTGTCTCTTTGTTTTAATAAGAAATTTCGTAAGGGTAAATAGAACAATCCTTGACTTCTTACCTTGTTTTTTTTTTTTTTTTTTTTTCTGTAATTCCCTTTTTTAGCATCGAAAACAAGTTGGCATGAAAAATATTTGACAAAAGGCTAGCTAACTTAAAACCTAAAAAGTTATTGTTCTTGATTGCTGTAGCACTCTAATCATGATAACATTCACATGATTCATATTATCTGTCTAATTTTAATATTTAAAATGATATCTAACTAATTATATTATGTCACACTATTAAAAAATTTAAAATGTATTTTAACTAAAAAAATTTCTCGTTTTAGTGACACCATTTCTAAGACGTCAAAAATTAAAGGGTCTAAATCTAACTTTTTAACGAGCTTCTTGTGTTGTCTTTGGAGGTGATGGTGATAACATACGTGAATCTTTTTTGTTGTTTATTTATTTAATTATTTTGCTGAATTTTTTTAGCTGTTGTTTAGTATCGCACTAAGGATCACCGCCTATTCCATAATAGGATGTTAATAATTCAACACCAATTTGGTATGTGAACTAAGGTCCTGTTCATTTCGTTGATTCGAGTTTTTTTACAGTAAAAAGCTCTCATAAAAAATCACATCTAATTTTTTTACTACAATAAAAAACTCTCATATAAAGTCATATCTCAACTCGAATCAATGAACTAAACGGACCCTAAGAACTTCTTACAACACTGAAATAAATAAAAGAGAACTGCCAATATTTGCAACTCTGGCAAGTCACATTCTAGCGCCCATCTCTTATAGGGAAATATGACGTCACACGTCCAGTTAAAGGAAAATTTTATTACGGTGCAAAAAATGGTAATATAATAATTTTGAATTGTCTTATCAGATTAAAAAAATTATAATTACTTAATAAAATTCAATAAAAATAAGAAATTTTTATGATGAAAAAGATTATTTTGCTCCACTACTAAACTTTTTAATTGTTAAATTAGTTTTTAAATGGTCAAATATACATGTTCGCATAAAAAATTTATAGCGCACAACATATAATTATTTTTAGTGTAGATCAAATCATTAAAAAATTAATTTAAAAGTTAAAATTTAGTTTTTATTGATAGAATAAAATAATATTCTCCGCCGTAAACACTCCGATAAAAAATACGGTGATTGAAACTATAATTTATTAGTAGGATATTTTTTGGCCCTACTACAGATTTTTCATTATGGTCATAAATTTTCTTATTTAAAACAAAAAAGAAAAAAAACAAAAATCCCTGGAAGTACAGGGGAGGACTCCTAAAATGCAACACCCAAGGTCCTCCCAAACTGAAACACCCAAGGAAGCACAGCCACAAATACACGGAGGAAGAAACGAAGAAGAAGAAGAGAGTAGCTGTACAAACTAAATGTCATTCAAAAAAATATGTAAAAACCAAAAGAAAAAAAGTTGCAGAAAGGTGTCCATATATATTTGCGGCGCTACGATCACAAACGCCAAAGGTATTGTTCTGTGCTCAACATTTGATCCCTAAGATGGAGACTTTACTTTCAATGACGAGAACCACGTAATTAGTCAGTCAGACAGTATATATATATATGAATGATTCCACTTTGTTGATTCAAATTTTTAATTTGAATTGAGATTTAATTTTATATAAAAAAATTTTACTATGATAAAAAAAATTAAATATGTTTATTTTAAATAACTTTTTATTATAATAAAATTTAAATCAGTTAAATGAACGATATCAAAATTAAATTAAAATCTGTCTTCTTCACCTATCTTTCTATCAACCAGATCTTTATCAACTATCGGCATTCAACTATATATACATCTATACATATATATATATATATATGTATATCCATCAGCCAGAAACACGCGAATCATTCTTATCCAACCTGACAAACATCCCAAAATGGAAAGAAGTTCCATAAGAGTTTCCCAAAGACAACACTCAACAATATATGGCACTTCCCTTTACTAGGCCACGTAAAATTTTACAGACAAGTGGACAAATTTGGGACGCACTTTGCGTATCCTCAAAATAAACATAATTTTCAGTAGTAAAGTGTCGGAGACATAAATGCACAAACTTTGAAAACAAATCCCAAAACAGAGAACGTCCAAGTAAATAACAGAGTTCCAAATCATATTTCCAAACTACCAAACCTGTTGATTTGCATTGAACAAAGATAAAGACAAATAATCTACATAGTAACATAGTACTAACACGGCCATATTTTCTTCCTCGTTTACAATTTTAGAACTAGTTGTACTACTCTCTATCATTTGAGCTGGTTGTGGATCTTGTTCTTAACTTCCCACAAATTACACATATAATGAACCCTTATTTAAAAACACAAAAATAAAAATAAAATAAAAATAAATTCAACACCACCTCCAAACTTTACTAAAGTCCGATAATAATATCAAATAAACAAAATTAACCCCTAAAAAAAAAAAAAGTCAAATTATCATCATTACCAAGACGTGGTCCACCATCGACCCACCTACCTTAACTTCACAGCGCCGACGCCGGACACTCCGGACGCACCGCCGCCGCTTAGATGATGAAACCCTCCTCCAGAGCCGTACACCTGTCCCTGATGATGGTGATGATGGTGAACACTACTATGCTGCTGCCCCATCATCATCACCCCTCCATACATCCCTCCAACCCCATTATACCCACCACCACCTCCGGCGCCGCCACCATCCGACCCTCCGCTGCCGCCGCCGCCGCCGTCCTTCTCGCCGGGTCTTCCGATGGAGCTCTTATCGCCCTCCATCTCCCTATACTTCTGAAGATAAATCTTAAGCGGCTCAACGTACTCCTCGAATCCCAAGGTGGTCATGGCCCACAGAAGATCATCGCCGTTGATTGTCTTCCGCTTCTCGCGCTGGCACTTGTCGGATGCCTCGCCGGTGATGAAGCTTATGAACTCCGACACGCACTCCTGGACCGTCTCCTTCGCGTCCTTCGAGATCTTCGCGTTCGCCGGCAGCGCCTTCTTCATTATCCGGCTCACGTTCGCTATCGGTAGAAACCTGTCCTGCTCACGCGACGACAGCTCTCCGCCGTGTCCCCCTCCTCCCGACTCGTTGTCGGAATCCGCCATGAAACGACCAAACTAGGGCCGAATCTCCGCCTGATTAAGGAAGCAGGCGAGGGGTAAATTCGGGATTTGGTGCGAAAGAGTCGCCGGAGCGGGAGGGATTCTGGGGAGCTCAGTTTGGGTGTGTGTCGAGAGGAGATGGAGTCCGTCGGATCAGTGGGGTAATAATGTGATCGGTGGTGACACGTAGATGGGTTTGAGGCCGTTCCTTTGTCGATAAGAGTGGGGTGAGGTGGATGATTTTATAACGTTGGATGAGATGTGGGGTCGGGAAACGTGACGGCTCTTGTAACGACACGTGGTACGTAAGTGGGACGGCTGTTGTCTGTTCTTTTGAGAATCTAGTGCTTCTTTATTTTTTAGTTTATTTTTATTTTTTTTGGCAGGCGGCTCGGCTTGAGTAATCATCGGCTAATGATATCTTGGCCGTTGGATAAGGGAGACGTGTCGGTTTTTGAACCGTTTAGATTTGAGATTTGCAAGTACTACAATTGGTCAATCTCCCACTATTATGGGAGTTGGTCAATCTATTCTCCCACTACTCTATGCTTCAAAAAAGTAAATAAAGAGGCTGGTTTAATTGGTTGATTTGAATTTTTAATTTAAGTTGAGATATAATGTTATGTGATAATTTTTTATTATAGTAAAAAAGTTAGATATAATTATTTTTTAGATATTTTTACTGTAATAAAATTTGAATCAGTGAAACGAACGGAGTCAGAGTAAATCCCACTACTGTATTGCCCATTGTATTTTGGAAAGAAGAAGAATAAAAAATATATTTTTTTATTGTTATTAAAAAAAACTATCCACTAAGAATTATATTATAGTCCCCTTAAAAACTACATTTTAAGATAGAAGGTTGGTGTATCTGGATATTTACCTCGTTCACTTTGCGGATTCGAGTTGAGATATGACATTTTTTGAAAATTTTTTACTGTAGCAAAAAAAGTTAGATGTGGCATTTTCTGAGAGTTTTTTACTGTAGAAACTTAAAACTGAAAACTCGAATCGGTGAAATGAACGAGGCTTAAACATTTTATATACAGTAGATAGAAATATCAGTGTCATAAGCAAGCCTTAAATATTCAAAATATGATCGACGTACTATTGTCGTGACATGTTGTTTAGATATTTTAAAAATAGTTATTCAAATGCTATTCGTTTGTTGATTTTTTTTTTTTGTCACTACTCCATGAATATGGAAAAATATGAATGCATTGTTGTCCTACACTGCGTGACGATAATTTGAGATTATTCTACATTTTTTATAAATAATAAATACGATGAATACCAATAGAGGAGATCAGGAGATGCTATTTTCTCTCTTGCTCAAAATGTACACACATTAAACAAATCATGACAAATTGCATGAAAAATAGAATTTCTTTTTTAACTAGATAATGAAAGAAGTAACATAATAGTACAACTCTTCTAAAAAAATATAAATAAATAAATAGAAATATTCAACTATGGGAGCCATAATAAATTGTTCTCATTAAATGTTGAGAAGCTATAGAAAATAGAAAGGCTTTCGCTCACTTTCAAAGAAAAAAAAAAAAAAAAAAAAAAAAGGCTTTTTCTCTCAAAATTTTCATTAAATTTCCGACATTTCTCTAATATTTCCTCAATTTGTTTTAATAAAAAATACGTTACACTCATTAATATTGATATTTACTTATCTGCTTATTCTTTTATGAAAGTCTTTCCGAAATTTAATAAGTCATAAAAAGATATTTGGAACCTTGAATTTCCAAAATTTTGATGAAAGTTTGAGATATTTTTGTCATGAATCATGATCATAAGAATTCTATTTTTTTTGTGTTTTGTTTTTTTGTTATGACACAATTGTTATTAGGAACTTTCTCAGGGTATCTTGACACGCGAAGAATATATAACATAACAATTGGACAGAAGATATCTTCATCCAATATATATATCCTTAGCCCCAAAATGTTCTAGTCTTGTGCCACAATCATTCAATGTCCACGGGCACGGCCACGGAAAAAGGGATTCAACTGTACTGGATTGATAAAAAGAAAATGTCCATGGAATTTTCTTTTTCATTATGATATCCATAGGAAATTTGGAATTAGTTCTAATTATTATATATTCACCAACTGTACTTAGAGCAAGGTGCATATCTTACTTTCAATAAGGTCACCATGTGTAGACGATGTTAGCTTTAATTCATAAATATGATGTTGACATTATATTCACAAATTCCAAGAACAATCACGCTAAATTATTGAAAAAATAGGTAAGAAATAAATACTTATTTCTATTGTAGCAATCATAATTCTTTAATAAAAATTTTACGACAGTTGATTCTCCAATTATCGTATTCCTCAGTTAAATCTCTAAAATTTTGAATGTGTGCTTTCTCTTTAAATGAAGAAGACGAAAAATGACTAAATAATTTGACGTATTGAGAATTATAACTTATATGTCTTTATATACTTTTTCATTAAGCTCTCATTAAATCTAATTGGATTAGTATTAAGTATCTACTCATTAAGTCAATACCCAATTAGAAGTCTTATGGGTCTTTCTAATTAGACTACTTAACAAGCCTAATTAAATAGTTTAATATAATTGTTAAAAAAATATGTGGCCCACATTAATTAATTAGGAAAACGTATTTTCCTAACAGGAGAAAGACGATCGGTTTGGCAAATGGTCTTTTCCCTTCTTAAAAAACTGCTATGAGACAAATTGAAGACTGTAGATATGTAATATCAACGTCGTTAAATCATCTCCTCTAATCTCAAATATGTACTTAAAGCTTTCTTTAGGCATGAAATGTCTTATTTTGTCGTTTTAGGATAAAAACATTTTTTTCAAAAAAAGAAAGTATATAAAAGTAGTGTATAATTTTTGTAATAAAAGTGAGCACATATATAGCTGGAAAAAGGTGACAAATAATGTCTAAAATGCATGTTCTTAAATTTTTACTCTTCACTCTTAATTAATACTTTTTAATTAAAGAATTATATTAACTAAAAAAATATTAATTTAACGTAAAGATTAAAAATTTTACAGTGACTCTACCAATTTTCTCTGTAAAGCTTGGCATGTTTGTGACAAGTGAGGTTAGATGTGGGCCAATCCGAATAAGTAATAAAAAAAAATGGATTTGGAGAATTGGAAGCTGTGCGAAGAATATGGGCAACAAGTATGGGTTAACTGAAAGAACTACGGTCCCGTTTATTTCGCTGATTTGAGTTTAGAATTCGAGTTTTGTTATAGTAAAAAATTTTTAGAAATAATCACATTTTATTTTTTTTTACTACAGTAAAAAGTACTCATATAAAATCATTGAAGACTTCTCTCTGGGCAAGGCACAGATCTGCTTGGCATACTGCGGAGGATCCAGTCTCATTCTGGGCTTCTGCCTCCAATTTATTGCACTCACATATCTCCAGACCATATGCAATATATAAAAAGTTTTTTTATGTTCATATTGGGAGATTTCTACTTATTAAGGACTTCAAAATACATTACCGATATAATTTTATTTTTCAGTTGTTAGATCAGTATCGGAAACTCTACTGTCACTATGAGACACTACCATAGAAAGACCCTTCCTTTTTATGTTACTTATAAATCTTAGGGTATAAGAAACTTCACGCTTATTAGTAGGATACAATAGATAAGATACAGTTTTTAACCCTTAAATTTTTAATATATTAAAATATGATGTAATTTATTTTTACCTAATATAATTATGATATGATATTAAGAATCAAAACTGTGTCATGTCGATTGAGTATTTTTTATACCCGAACAGTATAGAATCTCCTAAAATATAAAAGCTTAGATATCGGACAATTAAGTTTTTGAAAGTCAAATAGATAATGACAGTCATTAAGATTGTAACTTGTAAGTTTTATCTCAACATGTGACTCTAGTTAATGCACGTAGGGGAAGATCTTATTCCTCTTTTAACATAAGAGGAAGAAGTTGGAAATCAACAAATTTACTGTTCCTTATTCCTTATGAACTGAAGACTATCTGCTTTTATTATTGTAATTTATTTATTTATTTTTAATTTGCTGTGAGATATTTAAACTCTACGTCTTGAACTTACTGACGTGTTTGCTAATAGTTAGGTAATGTCAAGGTTTAAACATGATTACTTTGGTAAGAGAGTGTTTAACACCACTGAAGTGATCCTGTGGAGTCATGAAGACTATCCCATTTATTTTGTGGGTCTCATTTTGAAAGTAATGGATTTGCATAATTCATGAACAGTTTCCTAGCATTAATGGTAATCTTCGGATCTTTCCTGTAGAAATAATTAAAGGAAAAAAAAGAGAATATATTGTTTATCTATTACCTGGTCATGATTTTTTTATTTATTTATTTATTTTTTTTATAAAAACAAATTCAGATGTCTTGGGGTGGGTAATTATGACATCAAGAATATACTTAAGTACTTATTGTAATGTGAAATAAGATTCATGTCCTGCTTGTTAGAAATATGGAGCACCATGTTTTCATGAATGGCAGTCCATAATTCAATTCTATAGAACTCATAATTATGACTTACTAATGGGCTTACCAAGTGAAGCAAATTAAAGTCAAATTTAAAGAATATTGACTTCTAGACTAGCACTCCTAATGTGTATAAACAATCTTCTCAACAAGCAACAGAAAAAAATATGTGTGCATCAATGTGACATGATCATCAATTTAGTCGGATCGCATATTGGTGTCCAACAAAAGTAAGTGTTATATCATATCATATGGCATTGTTGATTAAATCAAAGTTTTATTTAGTGATATTAGTTGTGATATATTGATTGAACCCAACTAATATTCTAACGATGATTACTACTGGTGATTACATGATCAGCTAATATAGTCAATATGTAAATGCTCTTTAATATACTCAAATCATTACCATCCTGATCTAGGTAAATCTGAAAAAGTAAATCAAGATTATATATAGGTAATAGGTGATGTATCAAGTTGTATGTGGTTAGAAACTTGTGGAAAAAGATCTAGTAAATTGCTATAAAGGAAAAAATTAGAAAAGAGAGACCTAGACAGAGGTCAGCAGCAGGGGGAAAAAAAAAAAGAAATGGGCAAAGTGGAATTCCAACATCAAATAGCCATGAACTTTAGAAACTTTTAATAATTACTTTAATAAATTTTTTGCATTAACAGAAAATAAAAGTGCCATGGTACAAAGTGCTTTATTGGGTATCCAAAGTTAATAAAGATGATCAGCAAAGCAGCTCCATATAGTCGTAGTGCACCCCCCATATTATCATAAAACGACAAAAACACAAAAGTAATGTACATTGTAAAACAATCCTAAATAAGAGTCATATACCAACCGAAATCCATTGAAAGGATCAAAAACTTGAATATACTAAGAAAATTATAAACTCTGGTGAAAAAAAAAAAAGCAAAAAAAGCTAATTAAAGTATCAACTTATTATAGTTCTCAAGCTTCAATCTCAAACCTTGAACACTTGATGGACCCCATGGATATGTCAATCTCGATCAAGTTTTCCTCTTCATTCATGTCGTTTATCTCAGCTAACAACTCCATTAAGCTTCTCTGCTTGAAGATGCACTCGGGAAACAAATTATTAAGATCTGCAGGCATTTTCTGGTTCACGTTAAAGACTAGTTTCTCTTTGTTGAGATAACCATCATGATCATGACCAACATAGTGCCCACTTGGGAGGGCAATCTCAATGAGGCTTTCCTCGTCGGAGATCGATCCGTCGTCGTCGTCGGAGAAAACCGCGGTTTTTCGACCGGCACTGATGTTGTCTCTGAAGGGCCATTCTGCTTCAGAATCCTCAGTAATCGATGAGTGATCTAGGCACTGGTCACTTAATTCTGATAGTGAGTTCTGCGATGAAACTGACACGTGAGAGCTCATGTCTTGGTGTTCTTGAGATTCGTTTTCATGGTCATCTGGTACTTCTTTAACATGATCTTCCAACTGGGGAAATGGGATTTTTTGGTCAGGGCTGGTTAGGACATGATCTTTCTCTGATGAGTTTTCAGTCAGGTCACAAGGTTTGGGCTTAGAAAATTTGAAGAAAATGGTGGAGAGAATTAATATTGTAGATGTTATGAAGATGGAGAAGAACAAGTACCCAAATCCCAAAAATCCCACTAGAAATGGAACAACAAGTATAACTAATATAGCACAATTGATCCATGGTACTAGGTTCCTACACAAATGGTTGACCATCTTACAAAGTTATTCAAGGTGTACAAAAAATAAAAATCTCTATGTTGCTATATGCTAGCTAGAGAATCAAACTTTGTTTTTTTGCTTCCCTTTTATTTGATTGCATGGAAAGAAAATGAGATCAGTTGGAGACAAAATGAATGCAAAGGGATTGATATTTACTGGTAATAGAGATATACAGAAGTAGCAGAAGGACAAGTTTAGAAATCTTTTTCAGCCCAAATGTAAACCAAGAGAGGAAAAAAAAAAAAAGTTATATAAAGAGGATAGAACTATGGGATCTATATATGTCAGATTAAGAAAAGCTTACATGGGATATAAAAAAGAATGTGCAAAGAAGTCCTTGTAAAAGCAAAGTGAAAAAGGCTTGAATTGAAGAGGAAGGAAATTGCCTGAAGTCTGAACTCAAGCTGTATTGTCTTTTGAGATGTGAAGAAACAGATGTACATGAACTGTTTGCAAAGAGGAAGCAGAGAAAGAAAATAAAAACATATGTTCCTTTTTTTTTTTTTTCGGAAATAACAGTTCCCAAGTGGGCATTACTTACTTTAAAGAAAATATATATATATATGTCTTTCCTCTGCAACTGACTGATTCTCTTGAAAAACCCAAAACCCCCTGGCTTTGATTTACAGTCTCATTGCTTAGAAATCAGAGACACCATGTGCACATACCTGAGCTCTCCACATGGCTCTTTCAATTTCAACATTCAATGCAAACCCTAAATTTTTTGCCAAGAAAAACCAAATTTAAAAAAAAATGGAAAAGTTAGTTTTACAAAAAAAAAAAAAAAAAAAAAAAAAAAAAAAAAAAAAAGTTTTATGTGAAAGCCCTCCTACTTAGTTTACTTCATTGCAGATATGCAGACCCCAATTTCTCCTCTGCTCATTTATTGCTTCAAAAGTCAAAAACCATTCAAACCCATTTGCTGAAACTGTCTTTAATTTCTGCCAAATGCCAATAACTGAAAAGGACCAACTTGGAATCTCATACTATTTTTCTGGGAGAATCTACAATTGGATACATCATCCATAAACTAAATAGGACTATTGATCGCGTGGTAAGATTTAAATTGGACGGTGCATATTATATGAGATTAAATACAACACTGTTTGATCCACTTCATAAGTACTTTTTGATTAAAATTGCATGATTAAGATCAATTATCGTTATGATAAAAGGCACCCCATTATAGTATCGATCTCTCTTATTTTCTTTGCCTGTAGGTTTCAATTTTCAAACCGGCACATGCCCTATGCAGGAATTATTGGTGTGGATTGGAATTGTTTTTTATTATTATTTTTATTATTATTAGAGAACTTTACCATGCAATTGCAATGACATCAGATGCAGAAATGAAATGGATCTTTTCAACCCTAAACATTATTTGCGGTTCAACTGCTTTTAAACGTTATCTTATCTCCAACACCTATCTTTAGTAACAAGAAGTGATTCATGGCCTTGTAAAGCAAAAGTACAAGGTGGTTATTACTTTATCCCATTTCTTGTTTCTGAAATGTTTTTCATTAAATTACAACTTAAAGATGATGATAAATGTGATTAGTTCTAGTTTCCCACAAAAAAAGTCTTAGGAAACCAAAAGTGGAATCTGCAGACTGCAGAATATATAGGTTTATCTTGTATAATAGCCGGTGTATTTATCATTTCTTTTAGTGTAAACCTTCTTCAAACGTTTGACGAGAGAAATACATGCTATATTTTGGTGCATTCTCATGCCAAATTTGCACGGAAAAACTTGCAAAAATAACCAGAATTTATAATCACATATCTCAACAACATAAAAAAATAAAAATAAAAATAAAAATAAAAATAAAAACTTTCATCTTTTCTTATGTCATAAGTTGTTATAGAATTAGTTTCATTTAAACATGAGAAGATTAAAAATAAAAAAAAAATGCCCCAACCAAAATATTAAAACCCAAAAGAGAGCAGAAAACTCACTCTTTTAATTAATTCCCATCATCATGCATAAGGAGTTGACATTTTGGAGATGCTTCTATAGGCTATAGCTTTTGGAGATAAAACTTATATGTAAACAAATGATGACATTCAATTTGTAATGATGTCTTTGGTAGAGCCTCCCATGATGGCCTTAAGTAAGCTTTAAACATATGGGCCGTCAATGTGTCTCTCCCACCAGAAACCCTTGCCCCCACCACTCCCATATCACCGGAAGCCTGCACCGCCGGAGGTCAGCTGAACCGGATTATTTCCCGTATTTTCTTTTCAAAATAAGAAAATCAGTGGCGTTCTCACGCTCCCATCACCCAATACCTTTTTAAAATCTAGTGAAATCACACATATGAGAGCGGAAAGGTAACTCGTGTCAACCAATTCTTGCTAGCTAATTTGAAACAACACAGATTTTTCTTTTTTCTTTTCCCCTCATTTTATATTCTATTTTCCTAGGGGTTTCGTTAGCCATGATCATATTTTTTAAAAGGAAATTTGACTTCAATCTTCATACTAATAATTTTATCAATTTAGACGTCCTATTTCTATACTGTTAAGAGCAATAAAAGCATTGAAAAAAATCATATAAATAAAAATACACAAGATTTATAATAATATTTTACTTTAATATGAGAGTTACGGTAGAAATTCATAATGCCGGACAAAAAATTTATAAGATAGAATTGCACGCCCTCAACTCTTTGTGCTTCTCTCCAACCTCTTTGATTAACCATAAAATCAACGTCTCCTTATATAATATAATAGAAGTATTATGACAGTATAAATTTACAAGTGTGAAATCCACGTATTGTCTATGCATAATGCAGTAAACATCAAGATAATAATTAAGCTCCCAAATTTTAAGATTTGTTGTTAACTAAATAATTAACTATATATCTTCTTAGGCTGAACTTATTTTTAGAATGGGTCTAGATTTTTAGTTCTAATCTTGATTAAAATCTTTTTTAATTAATATTGTTATTTGACTAAAAAAATATTATTTAAAAATAAAAGATAAAAATTCATACCAATATACTTCAAAAAATATTTATCTAACTATTTGCAGAAAAATACCAAATCCTCACGTAACATATATATATATAT